CCCGGGACCACGGGCAGCCACGGCAGCGGCCTTGGCCACGGCTCCGTCTGTGTCCACGGCTCTGCCTGCTCCGTTCCGGCTGCGTTGGGCGTCGCGCTGTCTGGGATTTCCGTGCTCTGCTCCAGCTCTGAGCGCGCGCGCCTGAGCTTTTCTCAGAGGCGAGGTGTTTTCCAGTCGTCACGGGCTCGAGCCAGGGAGCGGCCGAGGGCTGTGCGCTCTCGCACAGGTGTCTTCACCTCATACACTTGGGCAGGGAGCACTTGGGGGACACAGGGGGCCGTGCCTGCCCAGCGTCTGGTGCTGTCCCCATGGGCGTCTGTCCTGGCGGCTCTGTTCCTCTGGGTGACGGAGCCTGGCAGTCGGGCACCTGCTGGCCTCACTCTCTCCTGTGTCTCCTTCTCAGAGTGTTTGGCTTCTCTGGTGGTGACCGCTCTCCGCTGGGCTGTCCTGGAGTCAGTCGTGGGTTGCTGGTGTCCCTAGGAGGCCTCGGTGCTGTGTGTGGAGCCGGTCGCTGGCCTGCTCTGCTTTCGGGCGAGCACCCCGAGAGCTGGTTTTTTGGTCCATCCAAACCACTCCTCAAACCTGGACCCAGAGTCTCGGGGAAGGCCTGGCCCTCTGACCCCCGACCTTCAGGCCGTGCCCCCTCGAGCTCAGCTCTGGGTCATCAGCCCCACTCTGCCCTCCCAGACTCCCAGACTCAGGCCCTGTGCAGAGGGCCCCCCACGTGCAGCTCCCGCCTTCGGCCGGCCTGTGTCCTCACTGGGAATTTGGGCACAAGGAGGAGTACTGCCTATACAGGCGGCCAGTTTGCAGACAGTGCCGGCTTGGATCTGCAGAGGGCGCCCCCCGGTGCAGCCCAGGCCTCAGGAGCTGCGTAGCCACGCGCCTGCTTATGGCATGTCCGCCTATCGCACGTCGTGTGTCAAGTTCATCATTAAAATCAGCTGCTGTGGGGTTCTGGGCCGACTGGGCCCTCGGACGGGCCGCCCTTCTTGGCTTTGAGCTTTTGTGTTTTGGAAATCGACCTTGTGCCCGTGCCCGTGTCTTACCTGTTGCGCCGGCCTCTGACCTCTGACCTCTGACCTGGGAAAGGAGCGCGTCTTTGTCAGAATCTCGGTTTCCATGTGAGCCATGCCAGGTCCGTTTTGCGATTTAATGGCTGAAAGTAAAAACTGGCACTCTCAGCCCGTCCCATGGTAAATATTTATTTTAGAAGCGAAGCATTAGCTGTGTGTCCACCGGTCTAAGAGGTGTGCTGCTTCCTCCCCTGTGGGGCTTCAGCTGCCACGCCCGTCGCCTCTCGCTCGTGACCAGCTCGGTCGGGGCCGCCCGCGTGTTTCTCAGGTTCACACTCTTTCGGAAAAACTAGCAATCGCTGCACAATACACAGAAGGTTCTGTGTATGTTGGCGAGCATTCCAGAGAACGGGCTGGGCGACACTGGGCAGGTGTCCTGCGGTCATGCAGGTCACATCAGCACCTCCTGCGGCCTCGCGGGGTCCCCTCTGCACCCCTTTGCGGTTTTAGGGGCTGTCGCCTTCCTCCTCATTTCTGAAGGTGCTGCCCTGGCTGCGCTGTGACGTTTCTGTCCAGTTCATTTAGAAGTGAACGCTCCTCGTGAGCCAGAGCTGTGATGGCAACAGCTAGGTCTTCGCGTTCGATGGGAAAGTGCGACCAGGCTGCGCAGTGGAAGGACGAGCTCAGCCGGGCGATCTTCCCATTCGAGAGTGAAGCGTGCGAGGCGCCCCGTCCTCCCCGGGGGTGGCTGCAGGAGCCGTTTCCCACTCGCCACTGTCCCTCCCCCCAGGCGGGAGCCAACATCGACACCTGCTCGGAGGACCAGAGGACCCCGCTGATGGAGGCGGCCGAGAACAACCACCTGGACGCAGTGAAATACCTCATCAAGGCCGGGGCCCTCGTGGACCCCAAGGTGCGTGCGCCGCCCAGAGCCCAGCAGGGACAGCTCCCTGCGGAGCGTCTCGGG